GGCTAAGGAGGAAGCTGGCTGAAAGATCTTACGTAGGTTGTGACCTTCCTGGCACCCCGCTAGACGCTTCCCCCCAAGGCTGCTGTGGTCCTAGGAAAGTCAAGTATAGGCAACGATAGGAACAGTCTTCAAATAATAGACACTTGTACTTGGAGCTACCCACTTCTAAATAGAGTTCAGATGAAAGAATTAAATAGCAAGGAATATGTGATACTCTCTGATTTTCAAAAGATCAAGGAAATAGCCTCTGTGTTACAAACGGTTTTCTTTGCACAATGCTTTTAATGTGACAGTTATGGGATTTATCCTGTTCTATTTTTGGAATTGTTTAAAGGTCAGTTTGTACATCTCGGATGGGTGGTTAAGAAATTAGGCTGAAACACTGTATGGCTGTATATCAGTCTGCAAACTCCACTTGTGGTTGTGAATGTTGATTTGATTTATAAGTGACACTGTACCCTGGATTCTGTCTGGACAGTTCTCCTTGCTGGATTTTATGGCGTTAGCTTGAAATGCAGAGTCTGCTTTCCTGTCCTTGACTAGCAAGTTAGCTGCAGCCTATAGGGAGTAGCTGGGATTTCAGGTGGGCTGCAGCCAAACAAAAATACTGACCGGCTTGTGCTGGGTGTGGGAGAAAAGGTCACTAAGTGGGGCTGAAACTTTACAGAAGGGGAACTTCAATACTACACATTTAAGAGAAATGAGGAGGCTTGCACAGGAAAATGAGGGAGCACCTAGAGGACTGAAAGGACTGACTGAAGTAGGTAAAGATGCTGAAAGGCAGTTGTGTTTGGTTGCTTATTTTCATAGCTCTAATTATATTGTGTGGTGTCCATGTGTGAAGCATGATTTATTTTAAGAGCCCCACTGAAAATATTGTCCAAGTCTCACTTTAGCTGTTGCTATCATTTTTAATCGGTGAGAAGCTAAGTCCCCAAATCCAGAATTTGGGGGAGTGTGCGATTACTCCTGAGAAGGCTCTGGAAGAACAGCACTGTTATGTGTACATGGGCTTTCAGACTGTAGAGTCCTAATTTTCAGGAAAGTGTAAAAGTGAGACTGTCTGAATCCCCAAAAGTGCAGATCTTGTGAGGTACCATTGGACTCTGGTTATTCCTCACAGTATAAGGGCATGAGATATCCAGAGAATGAAGAATCTTGCTGAAGTCTGGTAAGCATCCCTGCAGGGTGCCAGCCAGGACTGTAGAAATCATGTTTCTGAGTTTCCTTTGTGCAATGCTATCTTCTAATGTTGCCATCCATAGAGCAAAGATTTTTTGCTCCCTCCTCGATAAGAAAATACTCTGTCTGCAGGCATGCACACAATGGGTTTTCTTGCATTTCTGCTAATAGGCAGGTGCTTTAAAAATAGCTTTCTGTAGCATATTTAATGCATATGTAGTGGAATGGATAGTAAGATATGTCTTGTGAGGTCCCCAACTACAGACCCCAAGATATGCTGTGCATTTTCTAATCTGAGCAGCCATTTCCACTTGGTAGGAAAGGGGTACCAATAGCAGCCTGCTGCTGTAACTCTCGTGCAAACTGACTCACAGGAACCACAGAAGGAGCTTGTAACAGATCACAAGTGTTACTGAGGCATATTTTTTCTGTGTCTTTTTACAATACAGTTTATTGACCAGTCCCTACTTAAAATTAATTTGATAACTAATGTTATTAAAATTTATAGTCTTATGCTTTTTTCCCCCTACTATTCTTTGTCAGCTCTAAGTAGAACGGTATAGAAGAGCTGAAAAGCCAAAGCGTAAGGCTAAGTGTCTGGAATTTCTGAGTTCTCTGTCTTCCTCTGAATTTTGCAAATAATTTACAACAAACCCCTGAAAAATATCAACTGTTTTGGGGGTGTGGTATTATTATTATTATTATTATTATTATTATTATTATTATTATTATTATTATTATTATTATTATTATTATTATATTTTGCTGATTGGTTAAGTTCTCTGAACTTATACCTGCAAATAAAACCTGCCTATTTGAAGCTCTCTTTACGGAGGACTGACATTTTGTGTATGGAATGTAAAGACCACATTTGTTTGTGAACCTATTACAACATAAGCAGAAGATGAACTGTTTAAGTTATGTGCTGTTTATGAAACATGTAAAAAATTGATATTGTTTTGATGAAAGGCACACTGGAGGGAAGAGACTGAGCTTTTGCTTTGTTTCTCTGCCTCTGCTTGACTATTTGGGAGGGCTTTCTCTAAATCTCTGACATTGATGAGAGCCATTTGAGAAGTTCCCCTTGGCTAGGCCAAGTCTGGGCTCACAAGCACAATTCCATCATTTCACCTGGATTTTATTACTGCAAGCAGCTTACCCAGCTGCATAACAGGAATGTTTAACCAGGAACAAGACAAACTTCCATAAGCTGCTTAATTCTGACTTGGGACTGTTCCTTTAAATCAATTGATATTGAAATAATTACTTCTCAGAATCTGTGGAGGAAAAGGATGTAAAAAGAAAATTAAAATCTAATTAAATGGAGGTAGAAAGCAGTGTCTGAGTAGACAAATCTTAAGCCTTAGCAAATTTTCAAAGGTTACATTATCCTTTTTGTCCCTGGAAATTTTCCGTTTTACTTTTCTCCCCTCCTCTTGTACTTTTATCATTAGTTGTTAAGTAACAGGAAATCTTGG